CAATAGCTGTTCCTCGAACAAGCTCCACATTTCAATTGTGCCCAGCCCCTGCAGTTTCCTTCTCCATCCTATGCATCCTAAATCTTGCCTAATCGCCTCATAATTGCCTTTCCCCCAGCTATAACTCTTTGCCTGCGGTATATACCTATCCCTTTCCATTGCTAAAGTAAACGTGAACAAATTGTGGTCACTATGACCAAAGTGCTCACCTACCTCCAAATCTAACACCTGGCCTGTTTCATTACCCAGTACCAAATCCAATGTGGCCTCGCCTCTTGTTGGCCTATCTACATACTGTCAGGAAACCCTCCTGCACACATTGGACAAAAACTGACCCATCTACCCTGTTACTTTCACTCCTATCCAGAATCATCTTTGCAATCTTTTCCTCTACATCTCTGGAACTTTTCGGAGGCCTATAGAAAACTCCCAACAGGGTGACCTCTCCTTTCCTTTTCTAACCTCAGCGCATACTACCTCAGTAGACAAGTTCTCATCAAACGTCCTTTCTGCCACCGTAATACTGTCCTTGACTAACAATGCCACACCTCCCCCTCTTTTACCACCTTCCCTGATCTTACTGAAACATCTAAACCCCGGAACCTGCAACAACCATTCCTGTCCCTGCTCTATCCATATCTCTGAAATGGCCACAACATCGAAGTCCCAGGTACCAACCCATGCTGTATGTTCACCCACCTTATTCCGGATGCTCCTGGCATTGAAGTAGACACAATTCAAACCACCTTCCTGCCCACCAGTACGCTCCTGCGACCTTGAAACCTTATTCGTGATGTCATTCAATGTTCTGATCAATAAAGGCAAGCGTACCAAGTACCTTCTTCACCACCCTGTCTACCAGCAACTCCACTTTCAAGGAACAATGCACCTGCACCACTAGTCTTTGGTTGGCAACACACCCCAGGACCCTACCATTAACTGTACAAGTCCTGCCTTGATTTTTCCTTACCAAAATGAACACCTTAATCCAGCTAATATCTCCTCCTTTGGTTTATCGTTGATTGTGCTCTACAGCACGTGTGTGTTAAGTGCTTTCACTAATGCTGATTGTTGTAACATTGAAATTGTGTCCAGGAAAAGTGTTTTCCTCTTCTGCTAAAGTTACCATTCACTACAACTCCATCAAAATAAAGCAACAGTTAAATACTGCTTCAATATTTCAGAAGTTTTTTTGAACACTTTTCCCCCCTGCATCCAGTCAACTTGAAAGAGCTGCTTAAGTTAGGATGTAGTGTCCTACTCTTAAATGTTCCTTTCAGGGGCCCAATGTCAAACATTTGACAACTAAGAAGCACTGAGGCACCTAATCTGAACTTTTTGTTTCTAATTTCTCAACAAAAGATTGTAGACAAACAATTTACAGTAGAATGTTTAGAGTCAAGGGTAACAAACCATGCACAACTTGGACATTTTGCAGGATGTAGTTAACTATTTACAGATATATAAACAAAGCACTAACTGAAAAATATATACAGCCTTTCCACTCTCCCCTTTGTCTAGGATAACGGTACAGACAAAATACCAAATTGTGGCAACATTGAGATAAGTGGAAAGTGCTGGATAATAATAAAAAAAAACAAAAAAAAAAAAATCAACCCTTCATCTCAAGACGCAGCATAGGAGGAGGACATTCTGCCATCCGTGTCTGTTTAGGACAGCTATCCAATTAGTTCCACTCCCCTGCATTTCCCATAGTCCTGGATTTTCTCTACAAATACTTTCGTAATTTTCTTTGGCGTTATACTATAGAATCTGTTTCCACCATCATCTCAGACAGCGCAATAGGGTTACGTCACAACCTAGCAACCATATTAAATCTGTCTCCCGTGGTTGCAGATCCTTTTGCCATTGGAAACAATTTCACCTTATTGACTAGTTATGAACACTACCAGCAAATCTCCTCTTCACCTTCTTTGCTGTAGGGTGAATAATGCCAACCTCTCCATTCCAGTCATTGTAAAAAAAATAAGAACAGAAATAGGCTGTTCAGTCCCTTGAGCCTGCTCCACCTTTCAAAAGGATCATGGCTGATCTGACATTCCTCATATCCACTTTCCTGCTTTTGCCTGTAATCCTCAATTCCCCTATCGATCAAGAGTCTTTTTCAACCTAAAACATAAGGTCTCTGCCCCCACAGGTGTGACAAGGAATTCCAAAGACTCAACCTTCTAAGAAATTCCTCCTCATGTCAGTCTTAAGTTGGCACCCCTTTATTCTGAGACTATGCCCTCTGGTTTTCATTCTTATAAATGAATTTCATCTGCACCCGATCATTGTTTCGGGTGCTGTGTATGTGCAGCATTTCCTTTCTTGCAAGGTTGAAGTGCACTCTAAATAGCTACTGTCACAGTTCAAGCAAGGCTATGCAGTGGTTTCAAAAAGAAAACATACAGGAAATGATGGGGACCCTCTTTCTTGCAGAATGTTCGGACTAATCAATTTTCATGCAATTCAGTCATGACTGAGCGGTTGGATTTAAGAACACAAGACATAAAAGTACAAGCAAACCATTTGGCCCCTCAAGCCTAATGCACTAGTCAATAAGATCATAGCTGCTCCGATTATGGCTTTAACTTCACTTGGCTGTCTACCCCTTGTAGATCTAACATCTATCTAACTCAGTCTTGAATATATTCAATAATCCATCTTCTACTAATTAACAACTCTTGAGAAAAGGAATTCCTCCTTACCCATTTTATCAGTTCTACTGCTAAACGACCGATTTCCACAAAACTCGTTACACGCTAATGCTATGATTAATCTACGGCAAAGATGTAGATCTAAGAATCTCTCAGAAGGATCCAATAAATTCAGAGATAGAACTAGTTGACTTTTTAGAAAAAGTTGTAGATTTGGTTACAATGCTGTACATTTTCTCAGTTGCTGTGGTACAATTTGTCAAAACTGTCAAAGTGTGAACAGAGCAGGTTGTTACATGTGGATTAGCCCCAATGAAATGGGCTGAACAATGGCTCAGTGGTTAGCACTGTTGCATACCGCAGCAGGGACTGCAGTTCAATTCTGGCCTTGAACATAGAACAGTACAGCACAGCACAGGCCCTTCGGCCCACGATGTTTTGCCGACCTATTACCCTACTAAGATCAATCTACCCTGCATACCTTACATTTTACTATCCTCCATGGTGCCTATCCAAGAGTCACTTGGAAGTCTCTAAAGTATCTGACTCCACTACTACTGCTGGCAGCACATTCCACACACCCACCACTATTTAGGTTCTTCACACATCTCCCCTATACCTTCCTCCAATCACCTTAAAATTATGCCCCCTCATAATAGTCAATTCCACCCTGGGAAAAAGTCTCTGACTATCCACTATCTATGCCTCTCATCCTTCTTCGTTCCAATGAAAAAAGTCCTAGCTCCTTCAACCTTTCCTCATAAGGCCTGTCCTCCAGTCCAGGCAGCATCCTGGTAAATCTCCTCTGCACCTTCTCTAAAGCTTCCAAATCTTTCCGATAATGAGGCAGCCAGAACTGAACACGATATTCCAAGTGTGGTCTAACCAGAGTTTTATAGAGCTGCAGCATAACCTCACAGCTCAAACTCAATTCCCCTGCCAACAAAAGCCAACACACAATATGCCTTCTTTACAATCCTATCAACTTGGGTAGCAACTTTGAGGGATCTATAGACGTGGACCCCAAGATCCCTCTGTTCCTCCACAGTACCAAGAATCCTGCCATTAACCCTATATTCTGCATTCAAATTTGACATTCCAAAATGAATCACTTCACACTTTGCTGTGTTGAATTCCACCTGCCACTTCTTTGCCCAGCTCTGCATCCTGTCAATGTCCCATTGCAATCTACAACAACCCTCCACATTATCCACAACTCCACCAACCTTCATGTCATCAGCAAACTTACTAACCTACCCTTCCACTTCCTCATCCAAGTCATTTATAAAATTGTCATTTATAAAAAGTCATTTATTGAGCAGCTGTCTACATGGAATTTGCACATTCTCCCCATCTCTGTGCAGGTTTCCTCCCAAAGTCCAAAGATCTGCAGGCTAGGTGGATTGGCCATGTGAAATTCAGGGTTGCAGCGATGGAGTGGGGGTAAACTTCTCTTTGGAGGGTCACTGTGGACTCATTGAGCTGAACGGCCTGCTTCCACACTGTAGGGATTCTATGATTCTTAAGAGCCTTTTAAGAAATGTAAAAGTCTTGTGTTTACATATTCACTTACAGAATATCAACCAAGAAAGGAGAATTATGTGACAGTATCAATGTTGCATTACTGTAGCCTGGTGAAGGTATACACCGAGTACCCACTTGACTGTTATTAACTGCTTGCATGCTAGCTTTACATTTCATGTAATGAAGACCACCAGATCCCTCTATCATAGCTTTCCAGTTCCTCCAATTAAACAAAATTCTGCTTTTCTAGTCTTCCTATCAAAGTGGACAACCTAATTTCCCCCACATTGTACTGTACCTACCAATATTTTGCTTTTGGACTTATTGAAATATACCGTTCTGCATTATTTCATATCAATCGTTGTATCGACGGCAAATCTGTCCCTTCACTCGTGAAGAATGTGGGACATAAATAGTTGATTTCCCAGCAACTGATTCCACTAGATAAAACTTGCCAACCTGAAAGTGACCTTTTTATCTAGATTCTAGTTGTTGGATAGCCAATCCTGTATCAACGCTAATATATTATCGCCCTTTTACAGCGTATTCTTATCTCGTGTAGTAACTTAGATGGCACTCGTTGAATTTTCTCCGGAAATCCAAATAGCTGCTTTCCATCCGCCCGCTTATTTAATCCTCAAATAACTAACAATTAAATCTGTCAAATATTTGAAGCATTCTACGCAGTTTTTGGTTGTGCAACCTTAACGTAAATCTGACGGTGGCAGCTCAGTGAATTGCACCCCTGCTGCTTATCGGGGAATGGGGCTACAAATACAGGTGAAGGCCGATCCCACTCCCAACCCGTGCCCTCACCTGTCCCGCAATAGCTTCAGCCCCATTTCGACGCACTCCCCCTCCAACTCCTCCCAGCTCAGCACCGGGCTCTGCAAACGCACGGGTAACGAATCCTCGGGGCCTAGGGGAGTCGGGTACTCCTGCACGAAGGAGTCCAGGACCCGCTGCACCATCTTCACCTCCGGTACTGCCGCGGCCCCACTCTTTTCAGGCGCAGCTGTCATGGCTACTTCATCCCCGGGCGCTGGTTGCGCCGGTTTAAAGCGACAGCTCTCGTGCCTCCAACTGTCAGCCACCCGCTGGCAGCCGGACTGCGCATATGCGCCAGACTCCCGACCCCAGTTTTTAAACGCATGCGCTGGGTAACAGGAACACGGGCGTCCCAACCTCTTCTGGCCCTCCCCTCACAACACACTCCAAGAACGCATGCGCTCTGTTTACCGCGACCACGCTTCCAGTTTCGTCTCCCTCCTCCCATCCTCGATCGTTACTGGAGCCCCGCCTCACCTAACGCATGCGCTCAGGTCACTGGAATCTCGCCCCGCCCACCACCACGAACGCATGCGTTTTGTGTACTAGGCAGCAACGTCGACATTTTCGGCAATTGTTATGAGCCTACGATCTGATAAATCACTTTTCTTGCACATTTTGTAAGTAACCAAGTCTTGTGACACATTGTTAGCGTCCCTACCTCTGAGCCAAGCGGCGCAGTTTCAAGTCTCACCAGCTCTGGGGGTGCTGTAATAACATGTGAACATGTTGTTTAGGGGAAAATTATGAGTTCGACCTCACCATCACTGCAGCAACTTGTTGTACACCACCCCTATATAAATTTGTCCCTGCCGCACCGAACAAATAGTGATGGCACGGTAATCTGGAAGCAGCACTTAAAGAAGGGTCAGTGGACTCGAAAAGTTAACTCTGCTTTCTCCTCATAGAGGTTACCTGACCTGCTGAGTTTCTCCAGCAATTTCTGTTAATGTTTTGGGCAGAAGGGTTCAAACCCCACCATGCTAGATGGTGAAATTTGAATTCAATAAAAATCTGGAATAAAAAAAAGTTAGTCTAATGATGACTATGCTGCCAAAGTTCACTGGTTCTTCAGGGAAGGTAATCTGCCATCCTTACCTGGTCTAGCCACACGTGACTCCAGACCTATAGCAATGTAAACTCTTACAAAAACAGAAATTGCTGGCAAAACTCCTAGGGCCAGGCAGCATCTACGGGGAGAAAGCGAAGTTAACGTTTCAAGAGCACTGACTTCATCAGACAATTGCAACGAGTGATATTTTTACTGAAGATGAGGTGGGTTGGGGGCAGGGGGAGGAGGTGACCAGATTGCGCCGAGAGAGAGATGAAAGGGGTAGACAGACAAGGCGATTATTAATAGTAGGCCAGGGCAGAAAAGAATCTGAATAAATGATAATGAGAGCAAGAGTAAGAGAGAATAGGCTGGTTTTGCTGAAAGCTACCCATGTCGTGATAGTACCAGGATGTAGGGATGGGTAAAAAAAACATGGAAGGACTGAATCAGGCTCTAAAGTTATTGAACTCAATGTTACAGACGACTGAACAGTTCTAGAGGCTGCAGGGATTCTAAGTGAAAGATGAGATGCTGTTCTTCAAGCTTCTCCTGCTGCTGGCTGGAATACTGCAGCAGGCTGCAATGGAAATGTTGATGTAGGAACATGGAGGTGTGTTGAAGTTGCAGGCAACTGGAAGCTTGGGGTCATTTTTACTTACAGAATGTAGGTTGTCTGCAAGTGGTCACCTAGTCAGCGTTTTGTCTCCTCAATGTACAGGAGACCACATTGTGAATAGAGAATACAATAATCTAGATGAGATATCACATTACACCAGGTTATAGTCCAACAGGTTTATTTGAAAACACAAGCTTTTGGAGCCTCGTTCTTAACACCTGAAGAAGGAGCGAGGCTTCGTAAGCTTGTATTTTCAAATAAACTTGTCGGACTATAACCTGGTATCGTGTGATTTCTGACCTTATCCATCCCAGTCCAACCCTGGCACCTCCACATTACAGTAATCTAGATTGAATGATTAACTTTTAACTGTCCCCTGGGCAAATTGGGATGGGCAATAATTGCTGGCCTGCCAGTAATGCCCATAACCATGAACAAAAAATAAACCCTCTGGAAGGATCCTACAGCTGTAGTCACTTTGTTTAGTTGAAATAAACCTCCAAAAAGGCAGCATTCCTCCACTGCTCCTTCTCAGCAATGGCAGCACCCACCTCTCCTGGTGGGACTGCTGTCCTTCCAAGGCATTGGGACACACTTGCCATTCTGAATTAGATGCCCGGCTTGGAGACAGCCTCTTAATTAGGCAGCATCCTGCGGGTTGAGACCTTGAAGTGCTCCTGATTCATCCACAACGACAGAAGACTGCACCTGTAAAAGTTACTCATCTAGTCCCACTCCCCTGCTCTTTCCCTTTAACCATGCAAATTCCAGTTAGTTATCAAATTTCTTTTCAAAAGCCACAGTAGCTCACCAAGGTATTAAGGAAACTAAAGGAATGTTAGCCTTTATTGCAAGAGGATTTGAGTATAGGAATAGTGAAGTCTTGCTTCAATCATATAGGAGCTTGATTAAACTGCACCAGGAGTAGTGTGTACAGTTTTGATCACCCTATCTCAGGAAAGATATTATTGTCACAGAGGGAATGCAACTAAGAATCAGCAGATTTGTTCTGGGGATGTCAGAACTGTCCCATCAAGTGGGCAAATTGGACCTGTCTTCTCAAGAGTTTCAAAGAATGAATCTAGTTGACACTTAAAAAATACTGAAAGGGATAGTCAGGGTACATGCAGGTAAGATGTGTCTCCAGTTAAGGGGATTAGAACTTAGGGACACAATTTAAAAGTAAGGGGGATGCCATTTACAACTCAGATGAGAAATTTTATTTTTACTCTGATGGTGTCGAAGTTTGGAATTCTTTACCCCAAAAGGACTGTGGAAGCTTAGTCTTTGTCTACATTTAAGGTAGAAATTGATAAGATTTCTGATTACCAATGGCATAAAGAGTTATGGGGATGGGTTGAGTAAAAGGTATTAAGTGTTTGGACAGCTATGATTGTACTAAACGACAGAGCAAGCTCAACAGGCTGAATGGGGTACACGTGTTCCTATATTCCACCACATTAGCAGGTATTGCATTCTAGACCTTAATCACACAGTGCATAAACAGTTGTTCTTCATGTTGCCTCTGCCTCTTTTGACATTCATGTTAAGTCAGTGTCCTTTGGTTCTTTATGTTTCTACTAACGGGAACAGTTTCTACCTCGTTATTCTGTCTGTACCCTTATTGCTTTTGAATATCAAAGCTTCTCTAGACTTCCTGAAAGGGCACATCCATCAAACCGTGTAACTGAAGAAAATCTTATTAAAGCATGAATATCTAATATTTCTGTTTGAGGTGAAATTCCTAAGTTTGTAAAGTTTAGCTTCTAAATAGTTTCCTTTACAAATAATAAAACATTCTAGATACTGAGCCCCATTCTACAGTACTGAATAGTACATAAAAGATATTTATAAGATGAAGAAAGATTCTAGCAAACTATCGAGCTGGCTCCACATGTATGGAAAATGTATAAGTACCCCTCATTAATCTTTTTTTGTTCAGGTACTTATCCAACTTCTCTAGCTTTCTGCCAGATCCCATTGCTTCCTGTATATTCAACATCTCCTCCAACAACACTTTCAACCTTCTTTGAAATTATGGGCTGCTTCCTCTTAGATAAATTGCATATTAGAGATTTCTTATGTTGTTTAGGATTCTGAGGGACCTTGCTATGCTAAAGCTATTTATCAGTGACCCCATGCTATGCTTGATGGCAACTGGCAAGAACTGATCTGTACTATTGGGGCTCCACAGGTCAACAAATGTTCTCAGCAGAAATGGAGAACTGCTGGCTTTCTGCAACAGCAGTGGGCTCAGCATTGGGAATACCTCTTCAAACACAAGGACATCACAAAAAAACGGCAGTCTCAAGATGGTTACACACTGAACAAAACTGGCTATTTATGTATCAACAGATGGATGACATTCCCACAAAAGGTGTAATGGAGTTGCTGATGTAGAATCTAAACACCATCAAATGTAAAGCAAGAAGAACCTGAAATTGAAGAAACAAAGTCACAATGGCTATTTGCAACACAGAAACTGAAAGACAAGGATATACTGAACAGTTTTCAGCTGACCCTTTCCAACAGAGTCAAAGTACGAATGGATCACTGATCTGGTGTGGAAATTGGCTGATCAATGAAAGCTGGTGAAGGGCAAGAGGGATGAGGAAAAGAACACTAAGAAGCACAGAAAAGTGAATGAAGGCGTGAAGGAGAGCTAAAAGGGCAGCACAGTGATTCAGTGGTTAGCACTGCTACCTAACTGTGCCAGGGACCCAGGTTCGATTCTAGCCTTGGGTGACTATCTGTGTGGAGTTTGCACATTCTCCCTGTGTCTGCGTGGGTTTCCTCCCACACTCCAGAGATGTGCAGGTTACGTGGATTGGCCAAGCTAAATTGCCCGTATTGTCCACGGATGTGTAGGCTAGGTGGATTAGGAGGTGCAGGGTTGAAGGGATGGAGTGGGATGCTCTTTGGAGGGTCGGTGTGGACTTGTTGGGCCGAATGACCTGTTTCCACACTGTAGGGATTCAATGAAAAGAGCAGAGTTACAAGTCAGCAAGACACAAACAGTAAATCAGAACAACTCCATCACAGATTGTATGTGAACTGCCAGGTATAAGAAGTAACATCAGCAATGTCTACTCAAACTCCTGGGCATCATATGGAGAGGTAACGTCAGCAACGAAGGACTGCTACTGAGGATTGGTCAGAGGCACCTGTGGGACGTTGCATCAAAGACTCCACTTTGACCAGCAGGAGACGTATTTCAACTCTAAGATGTATGCCCTGCCAAAGTGAAAGTAGAATAGACACTGAGATGGGAAAAGAACATGGGGCTGGCCCAAGTAAGATGTAAGCTGGAGGACAGCAACTGGGTTGAAGCAAAACAGATTGTGATAGACTTGTGAAGTGGTCAAGTCGTGTTACAATTAACCTACATGGGACCAGAGGAATTAAATCATGTACATAAATTAGAAAATGAGAGTTAGAAAATTATCCCTTCATTTTCTATATCCTGTAATTTCTCAACTTTACAAGAATGAGAATCGCTATAATTGAAACATAAAGTTGAGAGGGCTTTTGACAGGGAACGTGCTGAGAGATTGTTTCCCTGAATGGAGAGTCTAGGACAAGAGTGCACAGTAACAGAGTAAAAAATCAATCATTTATGACTGAGATA